TCTGAGATAGCAGAGTGATGCACTGCACTGTGGTCGTAACTCACTACCCAGAGACAGAGATACTTACAGAGGTGTGTAAGAACTTTTTATGCAGACGCTGAATCTAATTGGGTATAGTTACGATACCAAGACAATTCCTTCACATTTTCTAATGTTGCTAGTAGCTTTGTGCTAGTGCAGAGGAGTGCCTGGGCAGAGCTGGTTGCAGACTGAGGCCCAAACTCAAATAACGTACTCTCATATATAAACCTGCAATTCTCTGAAATCCTGCCAATCATAAATGTTTGTTTCAGTCTTATGTGGGTGTGTGCTTTTATCGTTCATTAACATTTTGTAAAAATCATCATACAGGTGTGAAGCAGGAGGATGGACATCAGCTTCCAGGTAGAGTACAAATTGTACCGCATCAAATGAAAGGATGAGGCTTTTAGCCAGCAAGCTTTGGTGCAAATCAGGGTTGAACTAATGATTAAAATAACTGTCTCTGAATCAGTCGAGTTAAATTAAAGAATAATTTCAAATCAACAGGGTTGTTCGTGGCAAACATTTAAGTGTGCACGCACTGTTGGTGTTGCAAATCTTAATGTTAAGCTTGAGTAATCAGTTATTCTCCAGAAGTAAATTACAGTATATTAAATGTTGAAACGCATGATTTGCTGTTAGCAGTTCATGCTGTGCTGGTTAGTATGAGTATCCAAATGGAATAAAAAATAAGCATGAGTAAGCAAAACAGTTTAAGTTATTACCATCACAGTAATCAAATTTGCAATTGAAATTTTCATGAATGTAGTTACACGGGGTGTGTTTTTAAATTCTGTATGTTGTTTATTTTCTTCTCCCAATTTACCATTTGTAAATAAAACGTGACCATTTTTGTTGACTAACAAACCAGTGCAGTGTGAAACGGTCACTATGGGTCAAGTACTGAGGAAGTTCAAGAGTCTCGATCAGGATTCATTGTAGGACTTCTGTGTTCTATTGTGAACAATTAACCAACAGAAACAAAACAAAACTTGTTTTATCTATTATTTGTAGAGACTAATTTTCTGAACTCTAGTATAAAAAAACCATACTAAAATAATAAAACCTTCTTCGAGTTTTTCACCTTCCTGTTAGGAAAGATTGCTTGATCAATTTCTCTAATATGCAGATAATTGCTGAAAATAAAAAGAGGATTTTTTTTTTTCTGATACTTTTTTCATTTCACCACAAAACAGGCAATTACATGATGTCTATTATTTGGATTTAAAATAACTCATTATTCTCCTCAAGACTATATTTTCCACTTACACATACAATATTGAAAAGTTTAGTGTTTCTACTCAGATCAATGTGCCTGTTAACTAGGTTTTGGCAGGACATAGGTTGAGCCCGTGTTAGACTGGGATGTATCAGCAATAATACATCGTAGTATGCGACATTACATAAAATACAAAATAGGTGATGTTGTATATACTATGTAGCATGCTGCATATTTTAAAACTACCCATGCATTGTGTAAATTCATTAACTCAAGGGAAATATTTCAACCATTTTAATATTTGCATGACATTATATTAAAGTAAAAAAAATTACACGTAAAAGGACCAAAGCAATGTACGTAGTACTGTGTACAGTCAGTTCTCACCAACTCCGTTAACGTTGTTAAATGTCTTTCATATTTATTTATTTAATTATTATTTTTCTTCCATGTATGAGTTTTTGCCTTACTTTGTAACACCTTTGTAATGACATTTTGCTTTTGAAAGTTATGTTAATTAATTTAAAACAGATTGATTTTGGAGAAAACAAAGCCATAGTATTCCATAAATGTGTTTTGTTTTGTCATGTGCATTTGTTCATGATGATATTGTTGTTGTTGTTGTTATTATTTATTGGTTTTTTTATCCATTATTACTCAGTAGATTCTTCCCATCCCTCCTCCCACCCTCCTTCAGCTACAGATGGTGCAGCAGGTGCAAATGCCACTGATAATGCAAATGCCAGCTTAGTCAATGGTACGTCAAGAACACCTAGCTTGTTTTATTTGATAGATTTCTCTCCTGACTATATAAGATTCCCTCTTCCTTTTATGAACTGCACAGATGTTGTATGTGCACGTGATTGCCCTCTGAGAGATCCTACTCCATAAACTCTATAGTAACATATAATAGATGCCACAAAGATGCTGCGACTAACTTACTTTATTCACACAGAATTAAGCACGGGAGAGGAAGAAGTAGGAATTATGATCTATTTGCCATGAATTAAAACTGCAATTAAAAGGAACAGTTAAGTAAGGCTAGTTTCAAAACTTTTGAGTTGCCTTTACATGAAGTTTCATTGTAAAGCACAGATGTGAAGAACACCATGATAAATGGATTATATCTTCTTTTCTTCTGATGCGGCACTCTCATAAGTATTCATATAGTCTTCATGTAGTTCTGAGAAACAGTGCTGGGGTCAGGAATCTGGCTCAATTTCAACAAAGAGTGCTTTAGGAATAACTTTTGCTGCTTTGAGCATCTTTTTTGGAAGAGACTGAAAAGTTATGTGTTTGGATATTTGTGTATGCCCTTAGATAGTGATCATCTAATGAGCCTGCCTGTATTTACTAAAAAGAAAAAGAAAATTACTGTAGCCAATTTTGACTGTCTCTTAGTACAGATTCTTGATCCCGCTTTTTAGCATGCAGATATTTCAGTATCTCTTCTAATAGTCTAATTCCAGTATTAAATGGAATGGGTCAATATTAGGCTCGGCATCAGCTGTATTTTTCTGATAATCAGATACCTTAGGCTTTATTTGCCACAGAAACATCTCCCTCTTGTACAGCACCAATAACACTGACAAAAGTAATTCTACTTTTCATTGTGTTGTGACAGAAATTTTTTTCCATGCAGGTCAGTAATTGTTGCATTATGCATGTGAAACTAGAATTTCTGACACAGCAATACCAAGTACTAAGCAAGTACTAAGATTTACTAGTGTAATATCTTATTTAAAGCAATGACATAGGAAATCTTCAAGCCTATTTTTAAATAATTTTATTATAGTTTAGAAGAAACATATAACCAGATTTAAAATTTTACTCCTGCATATTCTAAGTTTGCTGGAAAACTAGGATTTACGATCTCTACTTCTCACTGCATGACAGGAGCCTGTATCATCCTGGTTCCAACACCCCAATTTCAGATTCCTTAGAGACCAAGAACCAGGAAATTAATGATGCATATTTCATTCTCCATTCTTTATGCTCTATGATTCTACTCTGTCGTGCGTAAAACAAACATATGCATACAACAAAGCCTTACCAGATAGACTCCTTCAATCCCACTGGAGGCTGCAGTATTACATTTATGCTCAGTCCTGCAAGTTGCCGAGTACTAAGTTAAGCATCTGCTTAAGTGCTTTGCTGGATGGGAACCACTGCTCAGCAAGACGCAGAAATGAGTCCTAGATTGTTCTAACCTGGTTTCTCTGTTAGCAAGTTTTAGTTGCCTGGTAAATATCTGTCGCGTTTGGTCTTAATGCCTGAACTTAATGTGGAAATTGAGTTCCAAGGGATATTAAATCAGTGTCTCAAGTATGTGATTTTCCATCATCTTCTCTCCCATCAGAAACAATAGTTACTGTCCCTGTTTATCTCGGATTTGAGAGATACATACTCAGTTCTTTTCAGGGCACAAAGTGTAGAAGTAAATTTTTTGTGCAGCTGAATATGTTTTTGCTTTTAACTCTTCTGAGGTGAGGCGGTTGAATTAATTCTGCAGATCTTTGATCAACATGGAAAGGAGACACTTTCCACAGTTCAACTTATCTGACATTGTGTTCAGAGGAGAACTGAGACTTGGCAAGTAGAGTTAGATCTGAATGCTTTGAAATTGTCTGGGAAATTGCCAAAGTCTGATTTCCGTTTATACTATACATTTTTCTAGTCAGCAGTGACAATGAGTTAACAGAATAGATATGTTTTGGAGGGGAGAAAGGAAGGGAAAAAAAAGAAGTTCTAAAGCAAGGAGACCAAGTTCATGTAGATATTTTTCAGTCTAGATGAAATTATTTTTTTTCAATAATGTCTGAGAATTCTCCCTGAGATGTGACTGGAAACAAGCATTTTTACCTATAGTCTAATACCTCTGTGTAGAAAATACCTGCAAATAAGAAAAAAAAAAGATATATACTTGAATAAGTACTTAGCTCAGGAAATGCTATTGCTTGTTACTTGAAAATCAACTCATTACCATTTCCAATAAAATATTGTTAGTCTTAGTTGTCAATATACATTTGACAGAAAAGTATTTAGTTTTCAGTCAGTGAGCTTATAGTGATAAATTCATACACGTTTGTGACATAGCCTGTTTGTTATCTGCTGTATCAAAGGAACTATTATAAATTCTGTTGGGCTTTAGTAGTTGAGATTAAAATACATAATTGTTTGATGGTCTCTTTGTTAAAACTATGGACAATATATTAAGTTTTTAAAAGGTTACAAGTTAAGGTTATGAGCAGATCAGAAAATTTTACAGAAAGGTAGTAATTCATGAAAATTAATTTTAAAGTATTGTATTTAGAAAAGGTAAATTTTTTAAAGAAAACATGGGAAGCAGCAATCACTGTTTACAGGTTGTTTACCCCAAATTTGATTTCCTTAGAGAAAGGAGTGCTTATCATTGTCCAGTAGAGCACTACCTGATTCCTAAATCAGGATTTCCATGTTGAGTTGTTGGGTTTCTTTTGGCATTTGGTGCTCGGAGAATTTGTTACTTAAAATTATATTCTGATATAGAAACACCATACCAGACTCAGAGAAATGTGTCAGCTGAAATACTTTACATCTACTGTTAATTCTCTTAGTTCTGGTATATGTACACTACTGTTCCATTCCTGCAAAGCAATTTGCAGTTTCAGTGTAGTTTAAAGTATTTGCTGAATTGTAAGTGAAGTTATTTAGTGAGTGCATAGAAGAATTATCTAAAACTTCCTATTTGATACAGTGGAATCAGATTTATTCTTTTGTAGTAAACCTGTGTTTTACTAATGCATTGGCTCTGATATCACACTGCATGAAAGAATTCCTAACGATTCACTTCAGATATGTTTGACATCACTTTCCCCCCTATATACAGATTTGCAATGTGCATCTGTTCTTACTAGCTGCAGAGTATAACTGACTTGGCGTAAGAGGGCTATAACTCATTTCTATTGCAAGATGAGACATTCTGGAAAATCAGTAGGGTGTTTTACATTTTGTGCTCCACCACAGCACATGAGAACATAACTCGATTAGCTTCTTCGGTTGATTCCAAGCAGTTCCTCCAATGACCAAGTAATTTCTAATGTCAGTGATAGGTCTTTGTTGTTCTGTCTCATTGACTCTCCAGAAGGGGCTGGGGAGGTAAAGGGGAGTCTTTCTTGGAAATTTTATTTGAAGAACTAACTGGATTTTGGGATACGAACTTCGGCAGTAACGGTGCCATAGGTGTGTTCCAAAAGACAGAAATTTTAATAAGGCAACATGCAGAACATCTCCTATTCAAATTCAAAGCCTTCAAAGCAGCTGCAGAATACAACTCACATTAGGGGGCTCTATATTCTTTTCTTAACCTTCTGATTTTTCATCCTTGCTTAGAAAAGTGGTAAAAATAAACTCAGATGAATTCCTCCAGACTTCAGGGCCCAAACATTGTTACTTATTTCCAAAAAGAAAAGAAAAAAAAATTGTCAGTTATGTAAAAATGTATCATATTTTGAAGAATTATATATAAAAATAATATCAAAATATTAACAAATACTCATCCTTTTAATGTTTCTGAACAATGCACAAAGATCAGAAAGATGAGATAGTATTTCTGGTCCTAGCACTAACTGAAAGGAGAAAGGATTTCTCAGCAGTAGTAATTCTATCATCTTAATTTCTTTCTTAATTTCCTTCTCTATTCATAATTTATAGCCAAGTGCAGGCTTCAAATTATTTGGAACAGGAGGAAATAAATCCTTTACAGCATTCTTTTCTTTATCATAGTTACATAAATTACCTATTCTTTGTTATTCTATCTAAATAATTGGAATATAACTAGCTGTGATGACTTCCCCCCCATCCCCCAGTAACCTAAGTGCAGTAGCTGCTGAGGTTAAGAATATATTTCTTAAATACTTATGTTTACATTGTTGTTAATGATTGTCCGTTTTGTGGACTGGTATTTTTAGGAAGCCAGGGTAGATGAAGTGTTAGTGGAATTCATTATGACAATTATGATACCCCTATTAAATAGCAAATATATATCATAAAGTTAAATACTTTGATTTACATAGAAAAACAGTGTATTTTGTGTTTGCCAGTTACGAGAGTCATGGTTTTGGGTTTGGGTTGTTTTTTTTTTTTTTTTAAGTTGAAGAATCTTCAATTATACTGCTTTAAGGTTTTGAGTTGTATTCTGAAAAAGGAACTATGGAGCTGGCTGTAGAGCAGACAGTCTGCTCTAAATTAATGTTTTCTGGTTCCTAAGGAAGGCTTTATCCTCTAGCCAGAAATCAGAATCTCTAGAGATGTTTTATGTCTTCCACTAACTTTATTAAAAACCATTCTAAGAAAAATAGCCATTAGGCAGATAGCAAGTTCAACCATGCACTGTATGCAAAAATTTTTAGGCAGATTTCGCAATGAAAATGAACTTGGTTTTGTTCAGGTTCATAGATTCATGTCTCATGGGAAAATGTAAGTCTTTGGAAGATAGGTACCCCCTTTTTAAAAGTCATGTTATAGCCAAGGTGGGAATAGAGTTAGAAATATAGACAAGCAGTTGATGCTAAATGGTTTACTTCAGCATGCTTTAGTAATCCATCCAAGTAGTGAGATGATTACACGTAGCGAAACATCCTTTCCTTTACTGTAATTCTGTGCTTCTGAATTTGTCAGTGCCCGTAGCCTGTTAGTGTGGGGTGAAAAGTTACAGTGACAAATTTATGACTGATTTGGCCATTTTTGCTCTTTCTGAGAGGGAAGTTTTTAGTGATCTCCCAGTTACTGAAAATACAAACATGCAAGAAAATGCATCTTAGCCTTTTAATTTTGCTACTCTTTATTCACAGCACAGAGTGAAAAAATGAACACATGTGCTGAAGCATAATTTCTGCTGCTTTATTGTGCATGTCAGTACTAGCTATGTTATTGCAGGAAGTCAGAAGAGCAGGACTTAACTGCTGTCATATCTTCTTTATAAACTCTAATAATACATTTCTTATTAGAATGTGTCAAAAATCCTGTAAAGGTGTATCAACTATTAATTTTCCTTAGCATTATTTTTTTATTGTGCATTATACATAACTAAGAAAAGAGAACGTCCTCCATTCTGAATGTAATATTAGTAAAATTCAAGTAGTCTTTTCCATAAGATAAATTCATATATGACTGAAAGTTTCATAAGGGATCCTGCCAAGAAATTCTGAATACATTTGAACTTGTTTGCTGGTTATTCTGAATACCACAGTTTGTATGCTCTAATTTGTATTTCGCCATTTTTATTTCATACACGCTTTCAAATGGTATATTTTCAGTTTAAAAAAAAAAACAAATAAGAACTTTGGTATGGTAAGACTTATACGTAGCTAAAATACTAAATTGGAAATTACAGATGCGCTTGGCAAATCTTTCTTTAGGATAAATCTGAATATAGCATGATCACTTGGCATTCATATTTACAGGAGTAACTTGCTAAATGATACAAGCAAGTGAGGAAGATGTAATTTTAAATTAATATCTGATTTACATTTTTATTTATTTATATTTATTAACACTATTATTTATATTTTGTCCTAATTTACAAAAATAATTAATTTAATTCTGGACTACATTAAGAAAGTCATGTTCTGTACTGGTGTGTGCCAAAATTATACCTGTGATTTTTTTTTAAGTCCCAGCTCTCTGAAATTTCAGTTCAGGAATATTATTCAAATTCTACTTTCCACTGGATTCTTTTTATTAGTTTCGCCCTCTTAATTTATCTGATTTGCTCAAGAATATGTGCTGATATTTAGTGTTTTACATGTTACAACATTGAACTTTACTGCAGTTCCTTGAATGTGTCCAGCTAAGTTGTCCATGCTTCTAAGTAAACATATGATAAAAATGGCTACTGATCATAAATAGGTATCTGTAACATGCCCATTACTTTTGTCTGCCCTTTTTATTTAAATTCCCATTTTCATGTTCTGTCTTGGGTGAAGATTGTTTACTGTCTGTTGTCTGTTGAAATTTTTCATCATATAGGCAAAATGCAGGATGGGAATATGGAGAACAGCCAGAACAAAGGTAATCTTCTTTCATATTAAGGAGGTTGTGGATTTTATTTTTAGCATGTAGTTAAATTCTGTTAAAAAATGAAATGAGAATTTGTGATTTGTGCCTGTGTGTAAAAATGGCCCTACTGTTCAAACAGAATGTTAAAAAAACCCCAAACAATCAAACCCAACAAAAACCCTACCAAAGAAATTGTAACTTACAGAATTTTGATATATCAGATATTTAGGACAGGAGAAGATCAGTATTTCTAATAAGCTATTTATGGATGATACTTTCATGTCACAAAGTTAATTTGAATTCATTTTTCTTGTGCAAGTTATGTATGCTGTGTATTGTTAGTGAATTTCCAACCCTATTCTCGATATGTCTCGTCATCTTTGGTGTTTAATGACATTTTACAGACATATTTTCATTTGCAGGGAGAAAGTAAAGCAATAACAAAAGGATACGTTAAAGCCAAGTGGTTATTTAGCAATATAGAGGTGTATTAGAAGGATAAATAACAGGAAGATTAAGAATCTTAGGAGTTTCTTATCTAATGTACAGTCTCAGGAAGAAATTGAAATAAACATTTTGCTTTCTCTGAAGCAAAGTCATGGTTCCCTTTTTATTGTATGAGACACAGCTATCATAATTTCTTTGGGTTATGCCAAATAAGTAAATTAAACTATAACTTTGTCTTCTCAGATAATTCTAAAGATTGCAAAGGTGGTGGATGAGAAACTGAACAGATAAACTCATTTGTTAATGGTACAAAACTATTAAGTAAAATGATATTACAGGAATAAGTTTTAAGGTTAAATAGATTAATGAGATTTCCAGGTCAAATAAGCATGGTTTTGTACAATCTGTGAAAGCAAAGCTGTTTCATCTCATTCTATTTAATTTACTTATGTCTGTGTTCAATACAAAACAGACACATACACATATATAAACTGGAATGTCATTGCTTTTAAAAACCACGTCTTTCTCTTTGATGCTATAATAAAGTTTCCTTATATTAGCATTAGCATTCTTTCAAGAAAGGACGGTTTAGCCTTAAAATTATGTGTGCTTTTTACGGGAGAATGAGGACGGTATCACCATCTGACCTGATGGCTGTTACCTGAACACCGAATGCTAAGGAAACTTTTTAAGTCTAGTATTATCCAGAATAGTGGTTCGCAAAGTGTGGTCCACTTGTCACTGAGGTGCCTGTGCAGTCAAGAGAAGTGGTGCATGGATCGTCTGCGGAACCACATTGCCTTTAAAATGTTTTCTTGAAAAGTATGATTATAAGGGTGCATTGTAATCTATGAGACATACCAAAATTTAGACATATATAGACCGCCTGTTTGCCAAAGCATTTGAGATCTGCTATTCTAGGAAATGCTGCACTACTGATGTACTGTTACTTGCCAAGTAATTTGCAAGACATTAAGTGATATATATATATATATATAAAAACCAGAATGTCGTTGGTGGTTTAAAATATAAATAAGTAAATACAAATCAATGGTTTTCATGATACTTGACAAACAGCACATTACATATCCTCATACGTATGGAGTGCACATGGGTATGCGTGTACGTTTGTGCTCCTGCAGAACCCCACTGGGTCTCACAGGGGCGTCTGTCTGCCATGGGAGTGAAGTGTGATTCTGTGCGTAGTTACAATCATCTGTGTTGCAGTCAGCCCTGCCACAGGTGTTGCTGGTTGAATTCAGTAAGTATCAACACTAAGATAAAAGGAATGAAGAATAGTTTTGGAGTAACAGTTTTGTTCTGCATTATTAGCCAAGCAGCAGGATGGGGCTGCTGCCATGGAGATGCAGCCGCTGAAGAGTGCAGAAGGGGGAGAGGGAGATGACAAAGACAAGAAGAAATCCAACATGCACAAGAAAGAAAAATCTGTTCTTCAGGGAAAGCTGACCAAGCTGGCAGTCCAGATAGGCAAAGCAGGTATGACTGGATCACTGACCAAATAGCAGTGTGTTATACTAGCAACAAACGGTTTTAAAACCAATTATTCTTAAAAGGGATAGGCCTTTTTTACTGCAATGTTTAGAAACAGGTCATCATAATACTGTTCCAAGGATAGTGTGTGGTGCTGAAGATCTTTTATTCTTCTTAAACTCAGCTTTGACTGTCAGGGAACTGGAAGCTTTGGGCAACTTGGATTGTAATGAATATTTGAATCAAAATGAAATGTAGCTTTTCTCATAGGCAATATTCCCAAGTGCAGTAATTACATATTTAATTTCCTTTTGCCTTAGAACCTCTGAGTACACAGTTTCAGAATCTCTAATATTATCTCAAAATATTGCTCACACAGTATTTCCCTCTTACGGATACTGAAATCATTCTGTTCTCTCTTAATACCCATGTTTCTGCCTTCTACCCAAATACGACACCACCTGGTCCGTACTGTTATAAGTAGCACTTCTTCTCCAACATGTAGGTAGAAAGTGAAAATCTTTCATAATGACATAATGTTCATTAGGTTCATTTTTCTAGTGGTGTTAAAGAGATCTTGATCTCTATCCAGGTCCTTGGCTGAGGCCCTACAACAGATTCCTAACTTCACCTCTGTTCAATCTCCCTTACCTTTCTTTACCAGTCTGATTTTTATCCCTGCTATTCCTTCTCATTCCTTTTTAAGTTCATTGCGCTTAGGTGATCACATAACCCCATGATGCCGCTTCTGTTTCTTTGCCTGAACAGCGCATGGCTCGGAATCTATGGTTATCATCTCTTTAATATCCAGTTTCGTGCTTTGTCCAGTTTCATATTCCTCAAGCTTCTCTTCTTTGTTGCTCGTTGTACAACAGTATGCATTGATACAAAAACTTCATTTCTCATGATCATTAATTTCTTAGATTACGAACCTTTCTACATTGCCTTCTGATTATTACTCTTTCTGGTATTTCGGTAGGCATGTGAATATCACTTTTAAAGTAATTGTATAGGGATTTCTAACCATAGTGTGGCAAGTAACATGAATTTAATTAATTAATCATTGCCTCATTTGTTTTTTCTTTGTCATTGGGCAATCTATGGGGATGTCTTGCATTGTCATGAGTATTTGCTTGTACAATATTTTAATGGATTTTCCTTTATCCTCTGGCATTTAGTGGTCTCCCTAACTCATCTGTTTCCTGTCAAACTTGGCATCCTTCAGCTTACCAACTTTTTTTTTAAACTTCAGTCAAGACATGAAATTCACAGCATTCCCCTTCTACTGTATGATCTCATTAGAGAGAAATTAATTTATTTTGAAATGCAGGCTTAACTGCTTCATAAAAACCTGCCAAAGAGCAGGAATCATAGCAAGGCAAAATAGATGTTCTAATGGAGTTTTTATTTGTATACTCAAATCCAGGAACAAAATTGTGGAGGAGGAGTGCTATCTTAGCAAAGTCTGTGTCGTTGGGAGAGCATATTAATCTCTGGGATCTTTTGTGAATTCTGTGAAATATTTATTAGTGTCTCTTGTGCTATACTGTCAGTGTTGTACCTCTTTTGAGCCTCTCCTCATAAAAATATGCACTGTTTGCTTATGTCCCTTACACATTTTCAAGAAAAACAATTAAAAACTCCTCTGTGGATGATTCTGCAGTATTGCCTCATTGTATTCAGCCAGACACATCAGTAGGGCTTTTCTAAAACATTTTATACTGCAACAGAAACTAGAGGAGACTCCTTTTCTCAAGCCTCTTAAGATAAGCTTATTTAAAAGAAAGATGAGTGTTTGAATATGGATAGAGTAGTAATTTGTAAAAGGGGGAGGTTAAAAGGACAGGCAAAGTAATGCACTAAATTGAAAAAACTTAGCTTAAGAAACAGTGGAACTTGTGTTGAACTAGACTGACTGAGAAATTTTAAAGGCAGCAGTAAGATGGTGCTTAAAAATTAATGCAGTATGATTCAGCTGTTCTGTAGAATTCAGTGAATGTATGGCTGTTGTAAATGTATTGTAGTAATGTTTGTTATACATTGTAAAATTTATCGTTGTCATCATTATTGGTACTGGAGAAAAATGTAGGATAAGAAAATAGTTTCATATCAAATTCAAATGTAAATTCTAATTGCACATGTTTTTAATTGTGTTTTATAGTAATTGGTTATTTCTATTTTCAGGTTTGGTGATGTCTGCCATCACTGTAATCATTTTGGTACTATATTTTGCCATTGACACATTTGTGGTCAACAAGAAACAGTGGTTGCCTGAGTGCACTCCTGTCTATGTTCAGTATTTTGTTAAATTCTTCATTATTGGTGTTACTGTACTTGTGGTTGCTGTTCCTGAGGGACTTCCACTTGCTGTCACTATTTCTCTGGCTTATTCTGTAAAGGTAAGAAACATTAAAAATAATTATGGGAGAAAAATGCTGTTCAGTTGAGTTTGCTAGTAAGATATTCTTCAGGTTTTATCAGGTGTGATGAAAGTTGGCCTGTAAAATTACTGTGCACAAATTGTTAATGAAATTTCTTTAAGTGAAACTTTGCTTTATAGTGAAAGTATTTCTGACAAAAATGCAAGTGCATATGTATTCTCATACATATCTTACTACACAGTGCAGGAATATCAAACAATAGAAATACCTACTTAGTTTGCTAGGTTACCAGGAATTTATTGAGCAGAATTTACTATGAGAATAGTCCAGTCTTTTGATATAGGATAACTTTGTCTTCAGATTTTCTTGTGGAACAGTACAAAGCTTTGATATGGATTTGAAGTCTTCAGGAACACTTTTCAAAGAAATTAGAGTTTCACTGGAGCTTTCCTGTCCTTTTCTCAAATGCAGTTGCAGTTGTTTGTAGCCAGTGTAAATGATTCTATTAGGAAATTAAAGAGGATTAAAATCCTGGACTTGTGGATTACTCCATTATCTATCTAGGAGTTTTCTCAGATTGTTTTAGCAATTTAGTCAGATGGGCCTTATTTAAACATTCTGGGAATCTTAGATGAAGATTTTGTAAAGTTTATTTCCATTTAATATAGAAACAAATTAGCATCTGAACATTAGGAAGGAATAGCTTGATTTATATGTGCCAAACATCATTATTATTAGGAAAAAAGAGCACATCTCAAGCGTGGGATTTTGCTAATAAGGACTGTAGCTGCTTTTAAAATATTTTCCCGTTCTCCTTATGTCCTTCATCTGACACGTATATCTATATTTGCAGTATCAAACTGCAATACAGCTTTGTGCACAACTGGTGATACTGTGCCCTGTGAGTGTAAGGTAGTGTCTGAAAGTAAGGGTCAGGTGATTGGGCACAGAATTGTTTTAATATTGAAAGCATATAAATGAGCATAACATGTATTTCCAGGATGACTGTGTATCTTGTGAAAAATACGCACTGTGGAATGGAATTCTCTGGTGGGTTTTTGTGGGTGGGTTTGTTGGTTGGTTGGTTGGTTGGTTGGTTGGTGGGGGTTTTTTTTGTTTGTTAGTTTCTTTCTTTCTTTCCCAAAATGTATAGTCCTTTTATGTGCTGCAAGATAACATCTTGGCATTGGAAAGAGTATTAAAAAGAAATCTAGTATTTCTATGATTATACTGTTTAAAAAATCCTGTTATCTTCAGTTTCTTTAGTTAATCTTTGCTGTTCTAGCTATTCTTTAAAATGTATATATACTGCAAAAAATGATGGAACTATATCGGTTTATCAAAGGCAAAATTATTTCAGGGATGGTCACTGCTTGGTTGTCTGTAACTGGGGCTTGGGTTATAGGCCCCAATTAAAGTTCTAATTTAGTAAGCATTATGTTCTAATGAACAAGACTAAACGCGTGCTTTTTTGCTTTTTATAACTGATGTTAAAAGTCTGTCAAAGCAAATCTTGAAGGTTTTTTATTTTGCTTTTTCTCAGAAAATGATGAAGGATAACAATCTGGTCCGCCACTTAGATGCTTGTGAAACTATGGGTAATGCTACAGCCATCTGCTCCGACAAAACAGGGACACTAACAACCAACCGGATGACGGTCGTCCAAGCCTATGTCGGTGATGTCCACTACAAAGAGATCCCTGACCCAGATTCTGTACCCGCCAAAACCCTTGATTTGCTGGTTAATGCAATTGCTATCAACAGTGCTTATACTACAAAAATTCTGGTAAGTAGGCTTTTTCTGTCAATAAAACGAAACATAGCAGAAGGAGCTGTAATTTTTTTAAGCGTTGTTAATTCCTTAACAACCTGTTGTTGATTATGAAGTGTTAGATACTGTTGAGGTCCTCAAAATGAGAGCAGGTGCTGTAAAAACTATGTATTTTGTGTATTTCTTTTGAGGATAGGGATGTACTTGTAAGTACAAGACCATGCTACATTTTAAAAACTCCTGCTGTTGTTAGATTGGGATGGCCCAGTTTCGGTGCAGGTAAATTTGCTAACACAACTAGTTTTCATTGAGACTTCTATGTGTAAAATTATTTTTGTGTGTCTAAGAACTTTCAATTAATTCTCAAATAGGACAAATTGGATTGGTTAAATCAGTGAGGTTAATGATCTTCATTAATTCTGGTTTCAAGTGAATTACATCCAGAAGTATTTTATTCATTCTGTAAAGGAGGGCAAAATGGAAATAGCATGTTTGCTTGTGGCATTAGATTCTTCTGTACAGAGCTAATTAAGAGGCCGAAAACTCCTGCAATTCCAATAGATTTGTTCTTTGAAAGGTCAAGCTTAATCTTAATACTGCAGAACAAATACTTCTTTTTTTTAGTTTATGAATTTATGTATTGTCCTTTTTATAGCTCTGTGCTGAGCTGTGTAATAGTTTTGCATGCAATTCATGTTTGTTTTAAAAGTAGTCTTTTAAAATACAATCACAGAAAACAATTGGTGAAATACTACTGAGTGCTGGAGCGTATATTTACTTTAATTCATGCTATGTAAATATGTGGATATTAGTAACAATCAACACTTGGAAGAAGAATGTTTAGAGAAACCTGACGCGACCTTCAAGGTCAGGTTGGACGGGGCTCTGAGCGACCTGATCTAGTTGAAGATATCCCTGCCCACGGCAGGGGGGTTGGACTAGATGACCTTTAGAGGTCCCTTCCAACCCAAACTATTCTATTCTATTCTACGATTCTATGACATATTCAAAGTGTGTTTGTGGTGAAGGTGTTTTTGAAATGAATGCTCCTGAGGATTGTTTAGCCAGGGTTAGTGTCTGAAGTCAAGCCACAGCTTAGGCACTCTTCAGACAGTCATCTGTGCTGTGATGCACTCACTCTTCTGTTCTTGCTGAAAGCTCTCTGGAAAGGGAAATGTGGGGAGAACCAGCCCCTGAGGCAGCTTGAGCTGCTGCTTACATCGCGTGGACAGGGAATCACACAAAGCCTCCGTCAGCTCAGAAAGATACTGTTAGTTGCCACCTTCCAGCTGAAATCAGCCAGCAATGTGAGTGCACCTCTGTGGTTGCACCGTACAGAGAAATAGCTCTCGTCAGCTGAGGTTGGAGGTAGCCCTTTTGACTTCAGATACCCTGGAAAAGCAGAGCTCACTCAGCTACACACCGGTTTCAGCTATGAGCATCCAACTAGCAGCATCAATTCCCAACTGAATCCTGGACCTTATTCTATCTTTTTCCTATGGTCCTACGGTCAATCCGGGTCAAAATCAACCAGGTTAGCTGAAACGAAAGATGGGCCTTCCGTTCTCAGGTGGTTCAGTGTAAATGCTGTGTAATAGCTCAGTGTGGATATTTTATGGCAGTGACTTTTTTGGAATCTAATTTGCATATTTGTAAATTAGCAAGACTATTTTACTATTGCTGGGTAAATCATGCTTTCACAAATCAATATAACATTTGATTGTGGGGGAGAGGAAAATACATCTTAAGTTATTTTAATATTGTTACAGCCTATGTAAGGTTAGGTACTTCTGTAAAAGAGAAATAGAATCAAACTCATCCTCAACACACAGGCTGGGATTAAGACAAGGTAATACAGGCAAATTGGGATGAAGGATAACAGGTAGCTATATAAATTTGTGATTGTATAACTGCTACAGTGGTAATGCGAGTCACCAGCATCAGTCCAAACTGATGCCTTCGGGAGGGCTTTGAGAGAATGCTACCAATGTTGGCAGAATTTTCCTTGTTCCTAAGAAACAGCAAGGCAGAGGGAAGGCAGATTGGTTGCTAGTTAAGTCAGGTGTAACTGGCAGAGCAAGACTCAATGTCAGCTGTGCTTAATTTGTTTTATATTTTGCTGTTCATTTTGAATGCTCGAGATCAAACACAGTTACAAAACGTGTCTGTTCAACTTCCATACCAGTTCACCCTCTCTGAATCTCAGAATAGTTTTAGGTTTCTCAGTAAGGCATGGGAAGGCATCACACCTTCCAGAGTGATGCAACATTAATATTAAGTTTAATGTTCTTTCTCTTTTGTTAATAGTTTCATTTGACTGAAAAATTTCTGGTCAATAGTAGTTCTAAAATTTCACTTTGGTCTCAATATAATTTTGATTTTTTTTTTTTCCTTTACTCTGGCTTGACTTCATTGCTTCTTGTTGCTTGCACACATAACATTAGTTACGTGTGCCTATTAAAAAGAGTCAATATTTCACCATTTCGCTTCTTTTTTAGCTTTGCACAGAGACTGATTCTGTGTAAAATTGATAAATGGGTGAAATCCTCTGGAAATCACCTTTGTTCTGGATGCGTATCAGACAACTATTTGAACTTATCTGTGTAAAATTCGTGGTGATTCTTTACCTATTGTAACAGCATCATAAGAGAAAGCCTTGCGGTATGGACCCCATGAGAATAACAACTCCAGCGTCAGAGGAGTTCATTTTATTCGTTGTTTATAACAAGCTTAAGCTAAAGTTTAAGATACGAAGTATTGTTCCATAGCCTTCATTCATTTTAAATCATAAATAATTACAGTAAAATATATGTAAGGGAGTTGTTTCCAGGATGAAGTGTACAGAATTATTCTTCTAGCTGCTAATACTGAATGCATACTTGTGCACTCATTCTTAGAGCATATTTAATCAAATTGTGCATATCTGCTCAAACCCAAAGGGCATGTAAGTGTTATGTCACTAAGATTGAATTTTACATATTCTATTTTTAGTTATCTGGTTATGCATATGCTGTAAATTGCGCTTTGTATGAACTTCTATTTGGAGTGATCACATATGGGACCATAAAATTAGTCAAGATGCTCTGTTGAATGAGAAATATTCCCTCTTGCATTGTCTTTTGATTAAGGGGCAATTGAACCATTGATAAAAATATAAAAAGAAAATAATATCACTGCTTGGGATAAAAGATTTTAATTTCCCTGAGAAATTAAACACAAATTATTCCAACTGAACAATAGCATCATTAAATATAGCTCTTTTCAATGCTTTCCAAGGATTAAGTTACTGGGTGAGCTGATTATGCATTCCATTAGCTTCAGAGCAACTTTAATGCTGCTTTTATGCTCTTTATGTGAAGCTGTTCTCCAGAAAACCTTTCTTTTCCAGTATTCATGTTTTAGATAGCTTTCTCACACAGAAGTAAAAATTAGACTTCATACATTTTTGCATGTGAGCTGTGATGAGGACCGTAAAGCATCTCTTACTCTGAAAACAAAATTTGCATTTTGGGAGTACTTTGATTGCACTTAGAGCGGAAGTACATTGATCTTGAACATTGTGGAGCAATAATGAAATAGAGACTCCAAATACCAAAACTAGTGATTTGAACTCTTCTATTGGGATCTTGCTCGCATAAATTCAGTTTTAATTAGCAAAGTATTTCTTCTTCTTCTAATTTCCTGAAAACTGCCAGAGGGCACAGATGACATGCTTGCTGGATGCCTATAATGTGTTCTTATTAAGAAGACGTCACAATTAGTATTTAGTTGAATGATTTTCAGCACCAGTGGAAAAGACCCAGCTGAACCCGTTATTGTTAGGATCTAACACGGGCATTTCATTTGGTACTTGATAGGTGCCCAGGGATCAGAAAAGCTACTTATGCCTGTATTAGGTGAATACCCGGATCTGCATCAGGAGGACTGTTTTCAGTTCTGACCATCTGGAGTATCATTTACTGTGTTTGCACAGTATGTGGCACAATGTAGAGGCATCCTTTAACCGAGGATCTCGAAGGAAAAAAGGCAGAGATGTCACAGGAAAGTGCAAAACGTTCACTCCCTTCTGCAGCTTCTGCCAACTTAGGAAATGAAGTAAACATATGTTAGTCTATCTGTTAGTAAATGTTAGTCGAGTAATGAATGTGACCTTGTAAAACTTTTGGAACAAAAAGGCCTCTATTGGATAAAACCAAAAGGGGTGAATGAAGCAAAAAAAAAAAAGAAAAAAAGAATGTAGACAATTTTATTGCAGCCAGAACAGAGCAAGCAATGTTTCCTGTTTATCATATGGCAGAACAACACCTGCATATGACACTGTAACATCTGTCCAAGAAAATAGTGAAGTTGCCAAGCTTGCTGCCAGCACCCACATTCCAACCACATTCCTACCACAGCCCTAGATGAGGGTCTTCACTGTAGGCGCAGACAGACCTCTTCTCACGAGGCTGCAGGGATGGCTTTGAGGGCCCCAAATAACCCCAGCAGGGAGGAACAGGGATTCCCCACGAGCTTCCCTGAGAGGAGTTTTTTCTCGGGGAGAGCGGTGGTTACCCTCCACAGGAGGATGACGCTGAGGACACAGGCTGGCTGCAGGGGTACATGGCGCACAGCAGTAGGATGGAGCTGCAACATAGACTCAGCCATTAAGATTTACTAGGAGAGAAAGGAAGGTGTTAATTCACCTTCTTGCTTTGTGTAATTACTTTTTCCTGAATATATAACAAAAGATCTTATTAAAATAAGTGGAGCAAAATTTCTAACTTCTTTATACTGAAAGTAGTTCAGAAGATTTTGGCACAGAATTTTATTGTTAAAATAAATAGTTCTTTTGACTGACTGTCTGATGCAGAATACTGGAATGAATGCACTTCATACTTTCTTGGAGGAAAGGGAGGTTGGCAGAGCAGGTAGGTAACCTATAATATATGAGAACCATAAGAAGAAATTACATTCTACAAAAGGGAAAGCGTAAAAGTAATGGAAAATAAGATTTTAGCACAACAGCTGCTTTG